TTTTATGTAATGTACATCTTGGAAAATAAATAAATAAAAATATAAAGTTTTCTATTTTCGACTATGATTGGCTTACCTCGAATACTGAGTGGTTTCTATCATATCATTATCTTGTCGGAGGTTCTTCGTATTCTCTGTCTTTCTATATAAATGATTGTGTTTATTTCGCGGTCACCTCTTCCCCGCTTCTGTGGAAACCTTTCTGTCTCTTCCCTTCTGTCTTTCACCTACACTTGTTACTTTCCCAAGGTTCCTTCTGAAGGCACGAAAGTTCTCCCAGGAGACGTTCAACTCGATTTCGGTTGCGAAAATCTCCGTTCTTTCCACTGCTAAAGTGAAGGAGATCTGAGATGTCTACGTCAATGATCCCTCGATTCACCTTCGATCGACGACTAGCTACGAGCGAGCCACAGATATGTTTGGCACCGATTTAGTTTTTTACAATGACCAATTCAAGTAGGGCCTTCAACTGCCAATATGCAGGGAGTTGTGTGCGATCTTCAATCGATATTGGGTCATTCCTGCCTAAGTTCTTTTGAACTCTGTGTCTATTATCACAACCTTCATTATTTTTTGTCGGAGGATAAAGATCCCCCGGACGATCAAGTTGTTCAACCACGTCTTCTCGTTTAGGATCGGTCGAGATGGTTATATCCAATTTGCCACTGGCTCCAAGATTTAGATGTTGGTCTCAAAAACAAGATCAAGGATTGGAAAACGATGTTTTTGATTGCCTCTTATGTAGATGGTTGGGGGATTCGCGTTTCCCCTTTTCGAGTGCAAGGTGAAGAAGGTAAAATCCTTGCCCGGTCATCTTCGAGATCACGGGTCGCTGATTGAGGGCCAGCGCCTCTCCCTGTTTCAGTACCTCGATCTCAAGGTTGTTAAGCGCATGATTCGACCAGATGGCTCTGACGCCATGACTGAGGGTTTGTGGATCTCATCTGACATCCGGGAGGTGGCTCGTAAGAAAGCTACAGCCGAGCATGCGGCTGTGAAGAAAATACAAGGAAAAGGAGGCTTTCCTCCATTTGGATCCGCCTAAGTCGATCGAGGGGGATGCTGAAGATGGGCAATCATATATACATGACAATATTATTCTTTAAATAGAGAACTTATGGTGTTGCATTCCAGTTTTTTATAAGGGGAACGAGGAGGATCCTCTCTGGACTCCTAGCGTCCTACGCTTCGACGATTAGCCCAGCCAATCATTGATCGGCAAGACCCTTGCAATCACTCCTTGTGGGACCTCATTTATAGGCCTATAAAAACTGGGGGAAGCGAGTCGCACTTCGCAGCCTATTTCGATCGAGACAGAGTCAGGGGGAGAGAGAGATTCCTTGGCAGGAATCCTGCCCCGGACAATAGTTTTCCCCTCCTCCTTCGAGGATGGGGAAGGATTCGTCTGAATAGTCATTCACTCATGACTAGGGGGCCGACGTGTGGACGAACGGCCATTATGCGCTGATTGACAGGGAGACGGGGTGGTTCCTCAGTACTCCCCTAAATGGAGATTACCCGTCGACCCTGGTAGAGATGTTCTGGTCTCCTGCTTTTAAGAAGATGCTGCAGTTGATGGACAAGAGGTATATGCTTTAGGCAACCAACTGATACCATGGCCTCGCTTGGGAGACCTCGCATTTTCAGGCTCTTCTCCTGGACAAGGCCTATAAACGATTTTACTTTAATGTGTAAGCTCATTTTTGTATGATTTTCAAAATTCATATCACGTCATCTCATTTAATCATCTCACAACAACAAGAGCTAACCTTTACACCCATTTTACTTTAATTAGTTGCATGACTGCATTATTTGTACACTCCAACTTCACTAACACAAGATGCAACTAAAGTCACCTCAAATAGAGTAGTTTTGAGGGTTTAGCCAAAATATTTGAAGGCCTAAATGTTAGGACAAATACTCATGATGAAAGGCTAGAGAAAACCCAACAATATCCGGAAGAGAAATAACAATAAAACATGAACCCTATTTGAAGCTATAATGAGCCAGCCTAACCAATTATTAGGCTACAAACATCACCTATAGCACACACCAAATCCATCTCTCATATGTTAGGCATAAACAAGAGTATATGAATCATTTTAGAAGGGAGAGTCAAGCTAGAAATGCTGATAAATGTTATTAACTATACTATAAAAATCAAAGTGAAGACACCCACTTTTGATGGGATCCAATGACAACCACAAATTCGTTGACCCCACAAATTCCTTGACCAAATTAGCCAAAATGGATAATTTTTTTGATTGGCAACAAATGGACGATTATCAAAGAGTGGATTTACCGAAATAATATTCGTGAACCATACACAAATCTATTAGTGCAATTTTTTGGCAAAAGAAGACAAATTATGAAGATGTATCCCCACTTAGGCAGATGATGCTAAAATTTAAATATTATCCTAGATATCAGAACAAAAAAACTTCATGGGCTGTTAAAGACTCTTAGATAAGGGAATATGCTTGTCATTGAATACTTAAATGCCTAGGATTCAGTGGCTAGAACTACAATAGGATTCACTCCCAATTATGCGCTGATTGACAGGGAGACGGGGTGGTTCCCCAGTACTCCCCTAAAAGGGGATTACCCGTCGACCCTGGTAGAGATGTTCCAGTTCCCTGTCTTTGAGAAGATGCTGCAGTCGATGGACAGGAGGTATATGCTTCAGGCGACCGACCAATACCATGCCCTCACTTGGGAGACCTCGCATTTTCAGGCTCTTCTCCTGGACAAGGCCTATAAACGATTTTATTTTAATGTATAAGCTAATTTTTCTATGATTTTCATAATTCATATCACGTCATATCATTTAATTATCTCACAACAACAAGCGCTAACCTTTACACCCATTTTAATTTAATTAGTTGCATTACTGCATTATTTGTAGACTCCAACTTCACTAACACAAGATGCAACTAAAGTCAGCTCAAATAGAGTAGTTTTGAGGGTTTAGCCAAAATATTTGAAGCCCTGAATGTTAGGACAAATACTCATGATGAAAGGCTAAAGCAAACCCAACAATATCCGGAAGAGAATAACAATAAAACATGAACCCTATTTGAAGCTATAATGAGCCAGCCTAACCAATTATTAGGCTACAAACATCACCTATAGCACACACCAAATCCATCTCTCATATGTTAGGCATAAACAAGAGTATATGAATCATTTTAGAAGGGAGAGTCAAGCTAGAAATGCTGATAAATGTTATTAACTATACTATAAAAATCAAAGTGAAGACACCCACTTTTGATGGGATCCAATGACAACCACAAATTCGTTGACCAAATTAGCCAAAATGGATAATTTTTTTGATTGGCAGCAAATGGACGATTATCAAAGAATGGCTTTACCGAAATAATATTCGTGGACCATACAAAAATCTATTATTGCAATTTTTTTGGCAAAAGAAGAAAAATTATGAAGATGTATCCCCACTTAGGCAGAAGATGCTAAAATTTAAAAATTATCCTAAATATTAGAACAAAAAAATTTCATGGGCTGTTAAAGACTCTTAGATAAGGGAATATGATTGTCATTGAATACTTAAATGCGTTTGAGGATTCAGTGGCTAGAACTACAATAGGATTCACTCCCCAATCTACCCAAAAGTCTACTGTTAAACCTAACCCTCAAACAATTAGTGTCCCCAGCACTAAAATTTTCCTTGAATCCACCTATAAAAATAATAGAAAAATTTCTAGAGCTAGAATCTAGGCTCTAAGGAGGAGGAGACAAGACCTCACAAAAATGAGGTCAACAATGAAAAAGGGCATACACAACACCACTGCATAACCCAAATAATCATTTTGAATGGTAATCATCATCTGGAGGATGAAAATACTGAGGAGGTCAACGATGATACACCACATTCTGATGATGACTACGGAGAGAAGAGAGAACCAAAATTCAATTTCTAATGATTGAAGTACTGACTGCTAGGGACTGCCCTACACAGAACTTAGTATTATTTCACAAGGCTTGCCCCACACAAGACCTAGTATTATTTCACAAGGTTTTGGCCCCATCAAAGGCCTCTAAAAATTCAGGGACAACTCCACATCTAACCTAGCAATATTCCCCTACAACTTATAGGAGTTTTCCCTAATTTTTATAGGCTCTAAAATCATTTTTCAAAGTGAAAACAATTCATTTTGGGCTACTGTCCCAGTTAAGTTCTTGTATGATACAGTTTTATTATAAAATCTTTAAAAAAAATCAAAAGAACTCAATAATCCTTTAAACATTCAAGAAAGTAATTAGGCGGACCACTCTCAAATATCCAAGTGTTTTCAACCCATGGAGTCATATATTTATCTATTCCTAGGCTCAAAATTCAGATATGGTATTTCAGGTTTTGATCCACATCTTGTTGTTGGCCAATAACTTGATTTTTCTCCTCGATCCACCCCAGTAAACAACCCAAGTCTCCCACACCATGCAACCTGGAACGTCCTGCAAAATCACGAGGTCTAATCCCAAGTCTTCTCTAAGACGCCATCCTTCAACATCAAAGAAGCTCTTGCAAACAGAAGAGTTAAAAAGGTATCACCATATAAATTGACACGAAACTCAGAATAGAATCTTTCAAGCGACTATATACAACAAGGAAAACATATTGAATGGTTCTAATACTATGCAAGCATCTAAAAGTAAAATAAAAAAAGGAAAAAGAACTACTTATTTAAAGAAGCTTTCTGAATTTAATTTAAAAGCAGCATCAAAGAAATTGTCATGTCTGGCTTGTGCACATCGCATTGTTTAATTTCAACAACAAGAAATCCTTGTAACTTCTGAAAAATCACCAACTTCTAACCATTGGAACTTTGATAAGTATATTTAGCAAACTAAAAATAAGAATAGCTGCCCAAAAGCATTAGTTTAAAAGACAGGATTTGCAAGAACCCAGTTAGTATCAAAAAGTGGAATTTGGATGGAGATGGAAAGTAAAACGAAGCACCAAGAAGAAAATGTTAACTTACATATGCTGCAAAGATCACAGATATAGATAAGATCAGATAGCCAATCTGAGAATGAATTTCTTCTGCAAGCTGGGCTGAAACAAACACTGCAAACAGGATCACTGGAATTGCTATCAGGCCTATGGTGAAAAATAGTGATCTCACATCTGGACCGAAAACGAGCCTCCCACCAAGGAAGAACCTCTGAAAGATGCAGAAGACAACAAGTTTTCTTCATGAATGAGACAGCACATCAGTTGCAAACTCAGTCAGAACTACGAGTTAAATCAGAAACTGTAATAATATTGATGAATACGTTGAAAAGGTTAATGCTAGCTCAGAAAATATTACTCAGTATTAATCTAATTAACAAGACCAGAATGACACCATAAAACACTTCCTAACTAGTGAATAAATCTCCAAATTCATCACTAACATCAAGGTTCTCTTCAGGCTGGTACAAGGCAGCAACATTCAGAGCTTCTGCGGAACTTCTGAAGGGCCCTAAGTCAATTTGGACACTATGAGAAAAAAAATAAATAGCTCAAAATTAAGATATCAATGTCATCCTGTAATCCTATGAATAGAAACTATAACCAAGTCGTGCGTAAGAACTCTATGAAGCACACAACTTTTGCCCCATGCGAATTTGAATTAACGTTACCATACTCAATTGCTAACTCTAAACTATGCTAATGATGGAAAGTATTTCTGGTACACTTTGGCTTGTCAGATTAGAGATTAGGTGATAAAAGGTTAAATGGTTCCAAAATAAATCTATCCAATAAATCACAATGCAAAAAATTTTAAAATGAAAACAAAAAAAGAATAATCATCACAACTGAAAAAAAAGTGTATGTCAATATATTGTTAAGAAAATCATTTGTTTGAGAATAAAAACATAATACTAATTAATTTTATCTTATCAAACTTCTCAAGTCAATTCTATGGGAGATCCAAGACAAACCAGACAAGTGCATGGATAGATATATATATATATATATCTGTGTGTGCGCGCGCGCGCGTGTGTGTGTGTTTAAAGAGAAAATATGGTTTTAAAAATTGAACCACACAATCGGTTCGACTAGCTAAAATATGAACTAGTCCTCTCACTAGTTTGTTCAAGTCCCAAAGCTAATTTCAAACCGAACAGGTCAGAACTAGAAGTTGAATTAGAGACCAAATGAACTAATCGAGTTCTTCATGATGCCCAGTTCTCATATTGATCAATTTATGATTTTTTTGTTTTGACTAATGGCTAGAAATAAAAGGCTTAGACTGGAAAACAGATTAAATCAATATACCATAATTTCTAACCTCCCAAACTCTTTGAATTTGAATATCTTATAAAAATAAGAGAGAGGTTAGTGGAATTTCCTATAATTTTGATTGTCATTGACATTCCAATTCAGTGATAGTGCTCCATATATTTTTGCAAGTATTTGTATGAGTGTGTAAATATATATAAAACATAGTTAAAGAAAACAAAAAAATATGATACAAAAATTTTAATTTAGAATCATATTCAAAATACTATATATTTTGAAGTGTCCTCATTAAAAACATTATACATTAAATGACATTATTATGTTTCATTATATTATTTAAATCACATTAAAATAATTTTAATGCTTATTATGTCATCTAGTTAAATTCTTGGTTTAGCCTTGGTTAATGAATTGGCCAAGACCGATCGCCATCACAAAGATTCATAACTTTTTTTATCTATTTGATTATTTTGTGAGATTTGTTGAAAATTTTTTTTAGTATTATTAAACTTTAAATTAAATTTATTCAAAGTTTGTAAGATTTGTGGTTTGATTTCTTATGAATAACATTTCCATAAGCTCAAGAATTACTTTGTGGTAGTATTTATTGTCAGCATTCTATTAAGTACTAAAAGATTTCAACTGTATAGTGATGCTTCGTATTAAGTGTAAGATATGTTCTATAGGGAGCATTGCAGACTTGTAACTTAATAGACCTCTAGCAGCACAAGATGCATGAGAAGAACTATTCTACCTATGACTTTGAACTAGTCGCAGTTAATTTTGCATATAAGGTCTTAAGTCATTATCTTCACTATAGGATTTTCACTAATTATAAGAGCCTAAAAACTCTTTTAAATGAAAAGGAATTGAACTTGATTTAATGAAAGACTGACTTATTGACTTAGTACCATCCAAGCAATACTAACTTGGTTCCAAATACTTTGAGCATAAAATCTTCAATTTATATAGTTTCAATGGTCACTCAGATGCGATAATTGATACTCAAGATAGAGTGACTTTATCTTTGAGATATTAACACTCAAAAACAAATCCATCATATGCCCCATAAAAATTCAGCCAACAATTTCAAAATGGACTAATACAAATCAGATGGAAGAGACTAAATTGACGCAACTTAAAAATTAAAAGAAGTGAAAATTGAATTCATTATTAATCAAACAAGTGCATTGAATTTTATAGAAAGTTAATATATTCCAAATCAAGAATTACTTTAATAGGAGATACTATGAAAAGTGCACACTACACCATATCAGATTTATCCAAGGAGTACGAGAATGTATCAAGATCTTTCAAAACTTTTATGATCTAATATGAAAAATGATATTACAGATTTCCTAGCCAAATGTTTGATCTCTCGGATGATTAAGGCTAGATATAAAAAAACTAGTGCTATATTGTAGCTTCCTCCCATTCTCAAATGGAAGTGAGGAGATTGCAATGAATTTTGTTGTTAGCTGACCAAAATCCAAATAAAGTTATGTTGAATGAGTAGTGATTGACAAACTTAGCAAAACGCTCATTTTCAACCCATCAAATTCCAAGAAAAAGCTGGAAAACATCTACATGAATAATATTATTCAACAGCAGGAAATAACAATTATCATTGTATCCAATCAAAATGAGATGTATGGAAGAGAATGCAAGAGTCATTAGGTATAAAATCAGACTTCTTACGGCATTTCTTATTCTTGCAGAGGATTAATCATATTGTATTATTCAAAGCTTAGAAGAAATATTGAGATTTTGTACTCTTAAATTTTGAGGTTGCCTGAGATGCTATATTTCACTCATGCATTTTGCCTACAATAATTATTCTCGACGACACGATGAAGTGTCGTATTTTCCTGACCACGCTGAAGGAGTCAGCACTTCGATTGTTCAATAGCCTGTTAGATGGGATCATTCCATCCTTTTATGAATTCAGGTGACTCTTTTAAGCAGGGGGAGAATGAAAGCTTGCAGACTTACATTATTCGCTTCCAGAAGGAAATGCTGAGATAAAAGACCTGGAGCCTCTCATCGCCAGGACTGTTCTGAAGCAGGGAGTCAGCAGCAAACGATTCAGGTTCTAAACTTGCTCAAACTGAGATTTTTCGCCGAGGTCTTGGAACTAGCTAACAACCACGTCGCTGTTGAGGAAGACCTTATTGTCTCCTCGAGAATCCAACCGGAATCATCCGAGCACCGATCATAAAAAAGGAAAGACCTAAATAACGGGAAAAAGCCAAAGGGCAATCGAGTCCCTGATGGTCAGTGGGGCGTTAACCCTCGGTCCCACGATAACCGAGGGAATAACAGGGGCAATAAGGGTCAAAGGTACCATTCTGACCAGCGGTTTTCCCAGTAGTATGAGCGACAACAGATGTAAGTTTCGACACCCATGAATGTGTCGATGGCAGAGCTAGTCTAGGTCATTCAAAATAAGAAATATTTCAAGAAGGCTCCTCTGTTGAAAACTGCATCGGCCCTCCGGAATCCAAACAAGTATTGTGTCTACCAGTGGGACCATGAGTACGACACGGAGGAATTCGCCATCTCAAGAATATAGTGGAGTTCATCAAGGCCGGAAAACTAAGGGAGTTCGTTGTCATCAGAGGACTCATAAGGCGACAGGGGAAGGACCCTGCAGAGGAGCTCGTAGGTGGACCATCGGGGCAAACGAGATCCACATGGCGAGGAACATTCCAGCTATCTTCGGGTAGGCGAAGGATTATTTCAGCAGTCCGGCATAAAGAGTCACAGATAGGGGGAGGTATGTTACATCACCTTTTATACTCATACTCGGCCCCTAATCGTTACAAAGCAGATCTATAATTGTATTTAGGGAGGTTGTCAAAACAGATCCCTCTTTTTTATAATTGTACAAATAGGCCCCTATAAATAGGATGTCAAAATATGAATAAAGGACTTTTCTCCGAATCTCTACTCCTTCCACTCTCTCTCCCTCTTCTTCTCTCGGCTCCAATTCTCGAGGCGTGTACCAATTTAGGATTCGACAATTCCATATATTCTCCCGAGTTGTCGGGGTATAACACCTTTCAAACCAGGGACGGGACTTCAACAAAAACACATAAAATCCATTTCATTACGGAACCCTAGGTCAGACGTAGATTTTCTGAACAGTACCATAAATTTTTAGTTCAGTAGCTTTTATTCGCAATTTTAAAAAAAAACAACTTTATATACCACTTTTTCAAATAACAGCAGTAATAAAATATGAACCCAAAGTTTGAAACTTGCCACAAAGCTATAAGCATCAAGATCAGTTCATATAAATTCCCAAAACTAAGGTTAGCAGAATCATCTCAACCTTCGTGCCTTCAAAACAAAAACATGACCGCTACAGAAGACAAAAATAAAGGAATATAGGCTATGAGCATAGCAAAATGGACATTGTTATAAGCAGAATATAACATAGAAGATTGTTACAGGGTAAGGAATTAGTAGTACATTGCTTCCTTTCCAGACTTGATAAACCCTCTTTGATGCATTGTTGGCTTCAATGATCCTTTGATTAGAATCAGAGAGCTGAGGACCAGCCGCTGCGTACATCTTGCCAGACAATCAAAGCTAAACTCCGTTCCAATAATATTCCTCGACTTCTTATCTTTCACTGAAACAATTAATACAAGAAGAGAAGTAGAATCGTCAGAAGTTGCAATCTCAGAGGAGAAGGTTTCAAAATTGTTAAAGTGGGAAAATGTTTAGGCAACAAAGTCACAGAACAGTCATTAATCCGTGGAAATCCACGAAGAGATCGCAGCGAAACGGAAGGACATTGTCCAATTACCTCTGGGATGAAACGGATCGCAGAAAAGAGAAATCGAAAAAGCTAGCTCCGGCGCCGTCTGCAGAGATTCGCAGCAATGGATTGGGTCACCTACAGTCAGCTCAACTCCTTCATTGAGAAGGAAGAAAACTAGAGGAAGGAGGCGTCTTCTGCTAGTTAAAGATCGGGTGTCATCGGCAGAAAATGCGAGCGGATCTGCCGAAGAGGCTGCACGGGCATGCCACTACTGAACTACTGAAGTGCTAAAGAAATATTTAAAGAAACATTTAAAATGAGAGATCAGAATACCATCACTTCTGTCCCGAATCCTAAATATTTTCGTTGGAATGCAACACGGCTCGCGGTTAAAACATTGGGCATAGCTGCAGTTAAACATCTCAGGGGTTGTTTGATTACCAGCATTAATGAATTTATATAAATTAAATGCAGAAAAAATTTAATTTTTGATATTTAGTAAGGTATAAATGAAATTTAGTATAAAATTTTGATGAATTGAAAATTAACTTTTAGTTCACTTCAATGTCTACAAATCCATGGATTCAAACAATTTTCAAATACATCACTAGGTTCTATATTGATTTCCTTTTGCTACAAAACCAAACACAAAAAAAATAGAGAATAAATGTTACATTTGACCAAATAACTCTAAAACTATTCAAAGGCTCCATACTTCAATTATAGTTTATTTCAATTACATTGCATTTCTTTTTGAGCAAACAAAATGGCTCCTTAATAGGACTCATTTTGAGCTACTTAAATGGTTTGACATAATTTGCACATACGTTTAACATTTGTCTATACTATTCACTGTGGATTCAAATATATTTACGAGTAAAAATTGTCTAAAAAAGAAAGAACAAAAAGGAGTGGGATAACGAGTACAGAGAGAAAGGTTAAAAGATTCACTGTACATTGGTTAGCAATGAAAGTTTTTTTTTTGCAAGATCACGAATTCGAATCATATGTTTTACAATTTATCAGTCAATATATAGAGAAAGAAGTTATGAAATTTGACAATATGATTAGAGAAAATATAATACTTGAGACAATTATTCTCTATCTCAAAATTTAATATTTGACCCTCTATTTATAAATGGGGGTTCACGACCCACTTCCTTAAGAAATATTATATTTAAGAAATGAAGTCTAATGAAGATTGGTCATAAAAAAGAATTTTGCTCGCTATAGCTATATGATTCCATAAAATTCTCATTAGTCATTTTCAAATAAGGTGCCAATCCTTGTAAACACATTCAATTATTTCATTTAGGTTAGATGAGTTTTGATGAGTAATTATGCTAAGTCGCTTTGATTAATTGGGCTACTCAACCATCAAGAATGCCTTCTTTAGGTGAGTTGGGTGAGTAGCTCTATGCTTAATGGTTTCTTTTGGTCACATCTGAGTAAACTACCTTTATTAGGATGGCTTCACCAAGTTCCTTTTGGTGAATTTAATTTTCTTAGGAATCTTAAAAAAATGGTTGATTTTGGCCAAGATGACATTGAGAATTTCTTACAAAGTTTAAGTGACTAGCTTGTAAATAAATTTAAAGTCAAGTATAAATGTTTTGATAAAAGCTTAATCAAAATTGGAATCATTTTAAGTTGATTTAATTTGACTAAAAAAATGTAATTTTAAAAGAATTGAATGATTTATCTTAACTATTTATCTACTATAAATGATGTACTTAACAATACATGTAAAACATAAAATGTCAAAGTAAAAATATTAATTTAAATATTAAAATAAATTATCATCAATTATCAAGTATCAAATTTGGCATTTATTTTATTTTATTTTGTTTTGCTTTTGATATTTCCTTATATGCATTAGCAATGGACAAAAATGATTTCTTAAACAATTTAACAAACTATAGTAAAACCTATACTTATTAATACTAAACAAATATTTTTAAAAATAAGAAAATCTTTAACTAATCTTAAAATGATCATAATTTATTTATTTATAACTGATTAAATATGTTATTTTAAATTTAAATAAATTTTCCATAAATATTAAACATTAAAATCAATGTTAAATAAATGGAGAATCATTTTATAAATTAAATAAAATATTTGATTGAAAAAATATAACTTTTTTAGTTTTGATAAAATAGAGTTTTAATTTATTAAAATTTCAAAATTTAATTTCATATGTTTTGGAGTTTTATTTTTGTATTGTGGCTTTTTTAGATTTCACGTTTACTAGTTTTAATATCCTTAATTCTGATTAGAATGCTAGTTAGGTCCTACACACATGGTTGATTATAATTATTATGAATGGTTGGCTACAACAAGCATGTTGAACAAGATATGGGTGTATTGATGGAAGGACAAAATGTTGTTTATAATTAATTAGAGTTGTTGGATTTAAATTTCCAAAATGAATTATTATTATGTATACCCTTCTCCTACCATTTTAACTTAAGTTATGGGGGTATTGTAGCTTCTCCTTATGATGTATTGATATACCCTTCTCCTATCCTAATTGATGTCATCATCGATTAGGGCAACTTTGCATATTTTTCCGAGATATAATATGAAGCTGACATATCAAAGGATAAAAATGGCTAACCTTGTTTTAACGAAGTTCTCCAATAATTTTATAACTTAGCCAAGCCTTACGCAACAAGACTAAAAATCTAGAAAGGCATGAGCTTGGTAGGATCAGAAATGAACATATCCATGACTAAAGGGATCTGAGACTTGAGCATCCTAATTATATAATCAAACATTTTCTTATGAATTGCAACAAGTCAAGGATCAAAGCTTTGATCGATGTTTATGTTATATACACAAGAATACGGGACGTTTCATCTAATACAGAATGAGTAAGTTATCTTTCTCTTGAGAATTAAAAGGAATTTACACAAACAAGTTAATTACTGATACCTCTTAACCCTTAATATTATCCAAAAACTTTATGTCACAAAATTATGTGAATTTTATTCTTCTAACACAAGGTGATCTATCAAACAAAGCAACATACTTCTGATTTGTGGGTTTACACCTTAATTTCATATTAACATAAGTAACTAATAAGATCCATTATAAATCAAGAATAAGATGTATTTCTAGTCTCCACCATGTTCTTAAAAAATATAATATTATACTTTAATTTGGTTTTCTAGACCTAGGAGACTGAAGGTAAGAAGGGTTTGACTTCTTGTACGAGAACAAAAGCACACTTAACCTCTGTTAGGATAATTTGGGCTGAAAGTATCAAACCAATCTAAATGACATAAAATTCATCCTAAAAACCACTAACAACTTAAGCTTGAACCATAAAGTAAAACTAGGTTTGAGAAGGTATTTTGGAGGAGGCAACCCATGGCTCCTAACATGATCTCTACTAGTCACTTATAACTAATCAAATCACAAACCTCAATGACCTATAATGACTGAACCATGGGTTTTCGATTGGGTCATCCCAAATAAAAATAATAATAATGACAATTCAATAACATAAAATTAATTCAGCTGCTAATAAGTATTAAGCGACCTAAAATTTTAAACCCCTTAAAATCCAAAAAAGATATTAATATTTAAATGAAACAATAATAATCAAAGATCACCAAATGAAATTTTAACCTCAAATACTCAAATCCACGAAGATCTCTTGGATGATGTAATTCATTGTTGCTGACATAATCTTCTGGTCATAGTAGGTTTGACCACCTCTCAGACTACATTGACCAAGGTACCCGACGATCTCGGGACGGCAGAGCCATAGACATTTTGATTGGATGTCTAAAATTTATAAATTAATAAACAAACCAAATTAGCATATCAAAACATAATTGTCCACTAACTTTGGATTGCAGAAATACTAATGACAAAAGACATACATCACCCTAGACTTACTTTGCATGTTATTAGGGTGTGCCAATTCTATTTTGCAGGGATGGACATTCAAAACCCAGAACATAGGATGAACTTCAACTAAACACAAACTCATAGGATGTTCTGGAACTTTTATAACTCTACTAACCTTAGGATGAGACGTTGAAGTTTCTTTCCTTGACAACGTCACTTAAACTTTTTAAGAACAAATTGTAACCCTAATCAAGAGTTTTCACAAGTATTTTTACTACTTAAGAAGTAACTAACTATAAGTGTTTACCCTTATTGAAGAAGTTAATCCCAGAATAGGTGACACCACCTAAAATATCTGGTTGTGGCGGTTCGCTTTTCATAAGGTTCTCTTCATAGAAATGTCTTGAAAATGTCTTAAATTGACTATACTTCGGTCAAGAACTTCGGGTCCTTCTACATGAAATACACCTCATGAAAGTATTTTTCCTAACATTCTTATTTTGTTTGACCCCATTATTATTGTCATCATTCCTCCCTGATTTATCACTTCTAAAGATTCTTAACATGATTTGAAAAGAAGCATAGGGAGTAGGGCAATATAATGGAATTCAAATTGGAGACTTCACAACGATAACAATGTCATTGAATTAACTACAAAATGAAGACTGGTGGCGCTGCTTCAAGCGGCACCATCATTTAATTTCATTGAGTTCATTTAACTGTAGTATTGTTTTCTCACCAGCTTCCTTCATATTGTAGTTAAATTTTTTTAACAGCCCAATAAGATTTATGTTCTAATTTAAATGGTAGGTGACAAGTTTTGCTAAATATGAGCATATATGAAGACATTTTTATATGTGTTTTATAAGCACTCATATAAGCCCAGAATGCATCATCTAATCTCAAAGATCAATCCTTCATGCTAGGATTGGCAGTTTTCTCTAAAATTCTTTTGATTCCTCTATTAGATACTTCTGCTAAACCACTCATTTAAGGATGATATGCTTTGACAATTCTTTGTTTGATTCTATACTTTGTAAATTGCTATGAATTTAGCAGTGTGCTTTGCTTCAAGTTTATATACCTATCCCAATTCCAGTTTAGCTGGTAACTTTGGCTCCCAAATTATTAGTCATTTTGCTACTATCCCCAGTTGTGCAGACCACGTCCCTGTTGGACATTTGTTTCATGCCTTACTTTGAAAAGGAGGAGTTCTACATGTAGCACTCGTTTCGTTGTAGCAGAGCGTATCAGCACTACTTTTCCCTCAAGGAAGAGACTAGTACAAGATGGCGATGCACTACAACTCTCTTTCTCATTTCCTGACCTCTTTTGTAGTCCTATCATGTTTTGAGGATTTCCATCCCGCAGATGTTGTACTATCTACGAGTGTTTGAGTTACCTTTTACAGTACCGTCCTTTTAACGGCGTGGTGTGTCCCTGTCATGAC